CCTTTTGTCTTTCGTTCATAAATTCATTCGCAAATTCATTAAAACAAGTATTTTTCGTAAATGTTAAAATTGATTGAATGTCATCAATGATAAAATGAAATCTGTCTATTAGATACCAAAGATAATAAGAAGAAAATGGTTGATATTGGTTGTGTGTGTGATGCTAACTGAGTTAATTTCCTCTGTTTCTGGTCAACTGGTAGATTGTTTGATTTCATGTAATTATACATAAAACCACCAATTGTTTTTTCATCTGTGATAATATCAAAGTTTCTTATTATTGGTAAAAAGTTTATGTAATCATTAATGTATTTTCATCAATGTGACCCTTTACTTCAGCCACGAATAAAGTATTTTTCTTCTTAATTATTCCCAGTGCTTTTGCTTTCTTTGTTGCTGTATCACAAATGATAACACCATTCAATCTTCCCGGCATATACATTTTATGGTCAGTATATTGAATGAAATCATGAGGATTAGATGAAAATGATGAAGGATATAATGAATTAAAGTCAACACCAACGAAATGAGTCATAATGTTGGAAGTGTCCTCATTTGATACAGTTTTAGTTTCTGGATTATATGAAAGTTTATTAATGTGCGTGATTCCTTTAAGATTTACTCTATGTTGAACATTTGATAAACCACCAGTAATTCCATTACGGAGGATGTGATAAGCTTCAACTGAATCTAGAGTCATTGGTAAATTATTTTTTAATGCATAATTTCTTAAATTGATTCTTAAACGTTGAACATCTTCATCTTTATTTGATTTTACGACATTGCAATAACAACACATTAACTGACAATTTTCTTTGGTATGTGGTTTTTCATTATCGATTCTATCTAATGTTGGTTTATTAGCATATGTAAACGCTTTACCACACATTTTGCATTTAGATGAAAGGATTAAATCGTGATAGTATTGATAGTCATCCATTGAAACATTGTTTTTAGTATCCCTTTCTGCTTTTTCATCTTGTTTCTTATATGAATCAATTTTATATTTCCAATACTTTTTTGTTAATTCAAAACTTGATTCCACATTTTCTTCTTCTGGATATGTTTCGTTAGGATTGAAGTTCTTATATGCTAACGCGTAACGAATCATTGATGCATTCGATGATAAAGAAAGATTATGAAGCATGTCAATTTTATAAACAAATGTTTCTTCAATAATTTTATCAATTGGGTCAATCATAATTTCAACGTCTTTATTGCAATAATGAATAAAATATTCTAATCTATTCTCAAAATTTTTAGCATCATTGAGATATATTTGATAATCTGAATCGGATATTGTTTCTTGAGTTAATGCTGAATAAAATGAATCTTGAGTGAATGGTTCCACTTTATATAATTCATCTTCGTAATTCTCCCATGTGATGAATTGATAAGGAAAAAGGATTTAACACGTGATTTATTGTTTCCGAAATCTTGAGTGAATTGGTCTAATGTTCCACCCGCTATATAATTTCTGATGTCAATAAATCTTAATTCATATGGACAGTTTGTTTTCTTTACAATGATTTGCTTAAATTGAGAAGAAGAACCCAGCATTGATTTTATTTTCCATTTTGCAGTGTTTAAATCACGAAGAATTAAATTTAAATCAAACTTTCCCGAATTAAAAACCTATGATATTCACTTTATTGAATTCCTCATCTAGAAGTTCTTTAAATGCTTCCTTCTGTTTTTCATTTAATGTATGGGACAAAGTCCCCGCCGTTTGGTCGTTTGCGGCTTCATTAATTCTTCATATTGTTCAATATTTGATTTAGCAACTAATGAACAGGTTGAAAATAAAAACTCAATCCAATCAGAAATAAAAGAATCACTTGATGTTAAGCAAAAATTCCTCGTAAATGTTTTATCACGGTCTACGACCTCGCCGCTTCGGTCTGAAAGACCTTCAGGACTCAAAGAGTCCGTTTGCGGCTTTATTTTGACAGTTGATGATACCATAAATGGTTTTAAGTAAGCGTTCAAAGTTGCACATTCAGAAAGTTGAAGTTCTTCTTTAGTCTCTAATGTTTCGAAGTCAAAAGTAATATAATATCTTGTTGGTTTATAATATTCCTGCAAATTGTGAGCTAATAGCCATTGATATATCTTCTGTTTCGTGATATGTGGTGCATATGGTTGTTGTGTGTTTTGCAATTGAACGTCTTGAATTAATCTTCCATTATTTTCTTTACATTTCTCACAATGTTTTAAAAATCTTCTTTGGTTTTTCCTTTCTGGGTCATCACGGATAGAATATACTTCTTCTTTGCAAAAGGGGCAAACTTTATATCCTGTGAGTGCTTCAACGTCTGTAATTCTGTCAGCGTGAAGTTTTCCACATGGACTCTGTGTTAATAAAATATTTACTGTTTCAAATTCTGGATCTATCATTATTGATTCCACTAATGGAAAGTCTACCTTATTTATGTCTACGTCTTCTGGTTGAGGGTCACAATAATAAAAATCAATATTAACGTTTAACATTCTTGCTAACCTCTCACTTTCTGATGAAATGTCAAATCCTTCATATGCATCTATGGCTTCATTTAAATAACTTCTACGAGTTTTAGGATTAACACCATCAGGAATGTTATAGAAGCGTTTAAATAACCTTCTACCTTCGGCTCTTATTTGATTATCATTCATTTTAGCTGTTCCGTTTTTGTTCATTTATGTAAGAATAAAAAATTAAAAAATAAATAAAAATAAAGTTTATTTTTTTAAAGTCCAGGGCTAAAGTCCATAAAATGAATTAAGAACACATAAATTTTTATCATCTGCGACGTGACGAATACATTTTAATTTACTCAAGAATGCGTACCCTGATACATTAAATCTAATTCCTGTCTTATTTAATTTCACAACTTTGAAAAGGAATGTATGAATAGCTATAAAATGATGAGATGATGTTTTATGGGTTGCTTCCATTTTTTCTGAAATAAATGAATAAATATAATGTTTATAAGTTTTCATATCTTTTATATTCTTAATAACGAATGGTATAGACCTTTCAACTTCGTCTTCCTTCGGTGCTGTTCTTTCATATGAAACATTATTAGTATCTTCAATAATGAAACCACAATCGCATAAAATTTTATATGTACCAATTGTTTCTTTTGATATTTTATCTAACAAATCAAAAACTTTATCAACACCTGTACATTTATTTAAATAATAATTTGTGTAAATATCATGGTCTTCTTTCTTAATCGTATTTGTTGCATATGTTACATTTTTCAGTGCTTTTTTGAATTTTTCAGAATCAAGAGGAGGTGAAAGTAATATACATGGATAATCTCCATCGTCAATAAATTGTAACTTATGTTTATGAATAAATTTTGTGCCTTCTTCTGAAAGTGTTTCATCTATTTCACCATCTAATAAATTTTTAGTAGATTCCAAAAAGTAATTTTTATATCTTTCTTCATGAGATTTTTGAACTTCTGATTCTGAAGCTGGGATATTCATTAAACCCTCTACTTCATTCTCATTATATTTTTCAACTTCTCTTAATTCCTTAATTTTTTCATCTATTTCATCTCTTATTTTTTCCAGTCTTTCAATTTCATCATATTCATCATCTTTAATCCGTTCTTCATAATATTCAGGGAAAACATCAGGTTCTTTAGGTTTTTCTTCTTCAGATGTGGGATATAAGAAATTTATAACATCATCTTTATTCATTTTTCCATCATAATCTAAATCATTTAATAACTCCGCGAATTTTTGACAATTTCTTAAATAATATTTATTAACTTCATAACTCGCCTCCTCTAATATATCCTTTATTTCCTCGTTTGTGAATCCCAATTTTTTAACGTCGTTAGTCTTGACACTCATTTTCATACGAATTAAAAAAATAAATTATTCAAAAAATGTAAGACATGAATTTTTAAAGTTTATTTTTTTATTTTTTTTATTTTTTTATTTCATTATGTATGGGTTTAGTGAAAATTTCTTACGATTCTGAAAATTTTTAAATCTTGATTTATTCAAAAACGTAAGAATAAAAACCGTAAAAATCATACATTTTTTACTTCATATGTAAAAAAAAATGATACAAAATCGCTCAAAAATGTATGAATTCTTACGTTTACAAAAAAAGTCACAAAACCCTTCAACATATACTACTAACCCATAACTTTTTTTTTTATTGTTTTGACCCATCAAAAAACAGAGGATTTGAACTGTATAGGACAATTTCGTATTTTGATTCGATCTGGATTCGTCCTAATAATGAATTTGAAAGTATTAATATGATCATAATATGTGTTATTGAAGAAATGAAATAATCAATAGACATCCATAGGATGGCCCAATAGATGATCCATACTATACAGAGTATGTATTTGCAGAAACATCTTTTAATTATATAAATAAACGAAATTTCTTTTAGTTTGATTTGAAATTGTAAAAATAAAAATGGAATTTTGGAATTATTCGTGTTTCAATACTATTGCGAAATTATTTATCAAGGAATAATTGAAGAACACGATGGAAAGTTTAATTTCAAATTTGAGAATAGAAATTTATTGTTTTATAGTTTAGGTTTTTCTTTACAGGCCTTGAATAGTATATTTCTTATTACTTTTGGTCGTTTCTCCCAACTTTCGAAAATTCAAAATTTTTTGCAATATTATCCAGCATCATTAGTTATTTCTAACGAGTGTGATGGGCAGTTTTCTTAGGAGGACGTTTTTATTTGAATAGTTGAATTCAAAGCATATTGAATTTTTTTTTAATTCATGAACGCAAACGTATGACTTTTGTAGAGTTCCATGTATACAGCAAATTTATCATCAATCTAAAAATTTATATTAACTTAATTTTACACCCTTCTGATTTTCAAATTTTCTATTCAAAACATAATTGATTAACAACACATAAAGAGTCAAAATACCGAAAAGATTATTTTCGCGGTTAAGGGATCACAAAATTCAAAGACATACAAATTATCTCAAAAGTTCGACACTAACAGTTTTTATTTTTGTGGGATGGTTGCCAAGATCCCCAACCAATTCAAAACATATGCCCTTGGCTGCTTGATTGGCACAGGTTCATCAAGCTCTGTATACCAAGTTTACTGTTTAAAAACGGGTCAGTATTTTGCCGCTAAATTCATTCCAAGAGAGTTATTTTCTGAAAGCAACGAGTATTTGAGACATGTAGAATCAGAACTAAGAATACTAGAAAGAATAGATCATCCTCGCATTGCAAAGTTCCATGAAGTCATCTATCTTGAAGATTTTATAGTAATCATCATGGAATTGTTGCTTAACGGTACATTACACCAACTTACTTCAACAAGGCATAAATTACCTGAGCCAATGGTTTACAATATTATTATTCAAACAGCAGAGGCTCTTGATTATCTTCACTCGAAAGGAATTGCTCATAGAGATATCAAACCGGAGAATATCGGATTTGATGAAAATATGAATGTTAAGCTCCTTGACTTCGGTTTCGGTGTTCAAACTAAAAATCGAAACTTAAATCTCGCGTGCGGAACTCCTTATTTTATTGCTCCAGAAGTCATATATAATGATACATATGATGGAAGCAAATCAGACATGTGGTCCTTAGGCATAACTATCTACTACACAGTCTTCAGAAAGTTTCCATTTCCAGAATGTTCAACAAAAAAGTTCCTCAAGTACTTGGGAGAACTTAAAGACATTGAAGCACAATGCTATGGCATGATGAAAACAATTCTTGAAGGACTCTTAGTTAAAAATCCAGATGAAAGGTTATCTGCAAGGCAAGTCATCAATCTCTTGCAGTTTAAACCAGATAATAATGTCCGTGCAAGATCATTATCCATGCCAGCTGTCTTGAGCTCAAAGAATGCTTCAAATAACAGAAACACAAAATTAATCATTCGTCCTGAAATCAACTAATTGTATTTAAGGGTGCACCCGTATGTACGTTTATTTGAGAGGAGGAGGATTACCCTCTCAATTTTGAGGGATTCGTTAGTTTATTTTCTCGATGAATATGCAATAAAATTTGATTTTTACCTTATCAATATACTTCATATAATATACACATGTTCATGTAAAAACTTTTTTCCAAAATCCTCAGGAATTAAGGGATTTTTGAATTTTAAGAATTTTTTTCGAATTTTTTCGAAAAAAAAAAATATTTTCAGAACAACCTTAACGGCTAAGATTTAGGAACAATGTTAAGTATCAAAAAGAAAGGAGGTCTGATATAGACAACATATATCGTTGAAGGTTGAAAAAATCTCTAATATTTGAGCCCAAAATTTCAAATTTTAATTTTTTGAAAAAAGAGGCCACCCGTATGTACGTTTATTTGAGAGGAGGATTATATTTTTGAAAGGGTGAAACATTATGAATATGTTAATTATATAATAATATGTATTATTATAAAAAAGAAAAAATAATGCACGTTAAAATTTTTCTTTCTTGATTTTTTACAAAATCTACTTAGAATTATGCAAAATATGACTAAATAATTATAAATTTCAAGTTAAATTTTAATTTTGATAAATAATTTAAATTTCAAAATATCAAGTTCAGTTCGACTATGTATGTAGTAATTCCTCAATAAAGTGCCAAAACCCTATTAAAATATATGAACATTTTCAACATTTTAATGTTTTTATTTAAAAATTTGATGGAATATGAGCTTCAAACAATTATTATGTAAATAAAAATAATTAAACATATGTATTTATTCGTATTACAACCGTAGTAAGTCGATTCTTCCTTTCTTCTACTGAGGTTTGAATTTGATTTCGAATTGTAAAGAGATTCAAAGGGAAAATACTAGCGGATAAAAACTACCTCCATGAAAGGGTCATAATGGACTCAAGTTGTATTTTTTGATATTTTTTGCTTTTCGAGCCTAAATAGGTAGCCAAGATAATGCCTAAAAATAAGGTTCTAAATTCTGAAGTTTACATGATCCTCTCGTGTGCACCCTTAATAAACTTTCCATGCATTTCTTATAAATTCAAATAACTTTTTAACTGTGAATCATAACTTTTGAATAACTATTCAATTAATTTCTATTGCCACTTTTCTGAAGTATCGAGATATGATTTGATTTTGTATGTCATTAATGATTCAATTGTTGACGTTTTATCATCAAAGAGTGTAATCTTTTGAAATGTAATTAAAATCAATTTGATGATAATTCTACATAGCATTAATAGGAATACGGAATATATACAATAAAAAGCCCTGGGCTTTCAATATTTTTGAAGCATTTTTTATTTCTTATTCAAATTCTTTTTACACAATTTTAACCCATAAATTATTGGCGTTGTTGAGTGATTAATAATAAATTTCAATTCTCAATATTTTTTTATTTCATTATTAATGATTAAAATCATTAATAAACTCGAATGGGCTTCCATCTCGATAATTAATTTAAGGGTATAGTAAACTCAAAATTCTAGAGTTTTGAGAGTGCCAATAAACTCTATAGGCCTATATATATCTATATTTTAAAGGAGAGGTTACGCCATAATATTTGATATTATAAATTATTAATTCAAAATAAAAGTAGAAAATGAAACTAATTTTATTCTAACCTATATAAATATATCAATAATCTAAAATGATTATAGTCTGAACTATATTTTACCAGATTATCAAATATAAGAGAAATGAAATAAGGCATAAAAATATCATAGCATAATTATTGGATAAATGCATTAATAAATTATTTATATCATAATGAGAAAAAATCAAAATAAGAAAATGAGCATAATAATAATTTAATTAAAAACAAAAACAATAAATAAAATGTAATTTTCGTTAATCAAAGTCATCAATGTCTTCGTCTTCTGATTCCCATTCGGACTTGAAAACTTGATAATCTCCTCCTGGTACACTCTGAATGGATTTTTTGTATTTGTTCTGTTTTTTAGAACCTTTTGTAACAGTTTTTTGTTTCAATATCATTTTGGAGTAACAATTCTCTTCAAATGATTTGACACAATCTTCTGGAAGTGGGGGAAGATGTAATGCTTTTTGTATATCTCCGAGAAAATGCTCTGGATCATTCCATTCTAAGATTGCAACGTTAACTCTAATGTTAATGTTCTTCCAGGCTCTTGATTTGTCCAAATAGCATGCAATTTTGGAGTTAAACGCTTCATTCATGCAGGTAGATCCAATGGAAGAAACTTTGGAAACTATGGGTGTCCATTTGTGAACCCAGTCATAGAGCATGAATTGAAGTTGGATCGAATTGACACCTTTTTGCCATTCAAAGCATTTGTAATTGTGCGGTTCGCAAAAAGAATGATTGCCTACGTAATGGTAGACACAATTCTCCCACATTTTCGTACGTTTGTCAATATTTTCTTCGGCAAAACATGACCAAAGCCACATACTTAGGCTTGCATTCAGACCCCAGAAAGGTCTCTCTATTTTTTCAATCTTCTGAGTCTTGTCGTTGAAAACTTCAACTGTCTTATGAGAAGCTGAGAACTTTGTAAAATCTTTTGAGATATTTTTTGATACATGACCTGGATCGAATCTTTCAAGATGAGAGACGCCAAATTCTTTAAAGACAGAGACACTTTTGTTATCTCGGTCTTTAATAATCTCTTTAACATCTTTCAAGATATTGTATTTCTTTAATTGCTTCAAGATGATTCGAGTTCCAGCACTTTCCATATTGTTGGAAGCTCCGGAATACTGAGCATGCTGTCTGTTTCCACCAATATGGTTGATGTTCACGCATGCAAGAACTCTTTTTGTGACAGCATCGAGCGCAGTTACTGTACAACTTGGCGAGTTTCGCCTGTGCGTCCATCTTGCATCAATGGATAAGTAACCACTGAAGGACTTTCTCGACAGCATTAGGGAAATACTTTTAAGTCTTCTAATCTTATCGTCACAAAATCTCTGTTGTCTCATGACACCACTCTTCACAGGGGGCTTAGTTCCACAAAGAGAAAGAAAGCGAGCACCTTTTGTATATGGCATTCCGGTCATTATGCAAGCACCAAGCATCTGTCGCGCTGAGAGTCGACGACGTTCGTGGAGTAAAATGTTATGCATTGCCTTTGTTTTCCGTTTTGGGTGAACAATATGGCCCATACAACAAAAAAAAATGAAATCCCGCCAAAAGTGAAAATTGAATAAAAAGTAATAATTAATAAATATATACTATATCATTAGATGAATATTTTGGAATAACATTTTAAAATCGAGGTTTTTCAATGGATAACGGTTCAATCAAAAATTTGACCCCATTTTAGAATCTACATTAAAAATGGAACATTTCTGTCGTTTCAAAATTCCAAAATAACGTTTCTATTCCTCTCAAAAGTAAAAAAAACTTTATTGGGGAAAAAATATTTTTATTTTCCAAAAAAAATGAAAACCTTAAATGCAAATCTAATTTTGATGCTTTTGTTTGTGATTTTTTGGATTTCGAAAAAAATTTGAAAATTCAGACAAGTTACCATTAACACTAATACGTTTCAGCGAGTCGGTCCCATCAGAGAAATTTTCATAAATCGGCGATATAATTTATTATTTCAGCAAAATATTCTCAGATCCAACTAGAATAAGGTCAAATTATACAAATTTAGCAAAGGCTAGTTATCCTACCTATTCAATTAACTTTAATTTTAAATAATTCAAGACAATTCTCAAAATTACCTTAATAATCGCGTTCTCTTCGCAAAATGACGATTCATCATTCACTACCAGCATAACTGAGGGCTTGTGCTCACAGAATAATACAGATAATTTACTTATTAATGCAAAATTTAGTACCAAAAGGTAATCATAGAAGATACAAAAAAAGTTTCTTTATTTTGATTGCTGATTTTATTTCTTCTAAAATTTACCAAATCTAAAAAATCCAAAATTGAATGCTATTGAATTTCATGTTTATGTAACATATACTATTTATTATATAAGGAATAAAAATTTTATAGTTTTAATCAAAAATAAAGGTGTACTAAATGCATACAAAACAAGGTATTTTTTACTCATCCAAAATATGTTAACAGTGCTATTTATATAATCAATATCCGAATTTCGAAATCATTTTGATGAAATCTTTATTTTAAAATTGAGTTGACTGTTAAAATCACCCGAGAAGAGGGATTATCTCAATGAAAAGTACATAAAATAGCAAACGCACAAGATGGCACTATGCAGCTTTATATTGTTATACAGGATGAACATATAAAATGTTTGGAAAACACTTACTTCGTTCTACAAATGTGTATCTCTTTATATCAAAGATTCTTCTCAAATTATTGAGAGACTTCTCTCAAAAAAAGGAAAATTTGATAACTAAAAAAAATTATGGCATAACCTCTCGTTTTGCATAGATATATATTTACATGGTCACAGAAAAAAAAAAAAAGGTAGTGGGGCTTCCAGGCGCGTTGCGCCCTCTAGCCCCGAAGATGTTTAGTATAAATGAAGTTTTTATTCTGAGTCAAAGTTCGGGTCTTCTGCGTTATATGCAACGTAATTGAACCATATCTTGTATGGATGGTTCAAATCCGATGAAACAGAAATGGTTTCACCGGGGACTAATACCAAGTTTCCTTCCCAGTAGTCTTGACCATTGCTAAAGAATATGCAAACCAATTCTTCGAATACAATTTCTTGTCCACTTTTGCGTTGGAAAATGACTCTCGGTCACCTGGAATGACTCAATCTTTTTCGTTGTTTCATTCGGTAACGAATATAGTACGAACAGGAAATCGGTTGACAATTTCAACTTGGATTTCGCTAAGGAGTTGCTGAGAAAAACCCAGCGCAACATTTTCGGCTCCGTACTTCGTCAGTAGTTCATCTCCTGTCATAAGCTGTACGAGTATCGATGAAGTTTTGTGCTGCACGGGGTGGGGGTGCTGTTGGGTGGGTGGTGTTTTTGTTGGGTTGTGGTG